ACCCATTCCTAGACCCTACCTAGCTACCCTACCTATACCTATACCTAGTCACGTGCTACCCTACCTATACCTATACCCAGTCACGTGCTACCCTACCCAAACCGTTTGGGTAGGGTACCTCATGTACCCTACCTAGTTCCTACCCATAAATCACGTGACTATACCTATACCCTACCCTACCCTACCCATCCGCCAGCCTAGCTACAGCACTTTGAAGCCTATACAGGGAGGCGTGCTGTAGGAGGGTTCTAACTGCTGATTATTAATGGCTATAAGAGCTATAACTCCCTCTAATTCCAACAATACTGCAAGGAGAGGAAGATTATCACACTCTGTATACCTCTACACTTATTACACCTCCTACAGCCACTTAATGTAGGTTATTTTGCGCTATTAAAGAAGGCGTATAGGCGCTAAGCTAAAGATCTTATGCGCAACTAGATTACCTACATCTTAAAACTTAAGTTCCTGCCATGCTTTAAACGTGCGTACAATGCAGCAATAACCCTAAGTAATATCTAGGGAGGGTTTAGAGGCGCTAGATTAGTTCTATTTAACCTAGAACAGGTTATAATAGGCCTTGACGTTCAACTGCGCACCCTATCACCACTTCCTATCTCTAATAAGCCCTGGCAGTCCTGTACACCCCAGAACACGCTAGAATTTAGGTCTTAATCAAAGCTGGTTCAAGAGAAGATTTAAAAGCATACAGATAGCTCGCCTTCCTCTATTATAAATGCGCTAGAAAAGCTCTTAAAAGGCGCTAAGATGATGGCGCATTTGCTAGTGTTAGTGCGCAAGCAGGTTTCTGAGCTTTAAGATGCTAACAAGGCTGCAACATAACATAAATTACATAAAAGAAAGTGTTTACAGCAGGAGGGGACTCTAATAGTTAAAGAGGGGGTATAGTTAACTACTCTAGAGGAGTTTAAAGCGCGTAGTAATAGTAAACATGCAAAGAAGACAGTGTACACTAATAAAGGTTAACAAACTATAAGACGCTGTAAACAGTGCTAGGAGACAGGGCACAACTTGTGCACATGTTAGAAGAGATTGTAGATAGCTCTTCTATACTATAACACATTAAATTACCATTTGCAGGCCTATAATGGGGTGTTGCGGGCCAAAATAGAGTAGAGTTTTGGTGGGGTCTTGGCAGAGTGGGCAACTCACCCATATGGGCGACTCACCCGTCAAGTACGTTACTGCTAAAGGATTATGTTTCTCTATTAAAGGATAGTCTTAGCTGGCGCCTAGATAGGAATAATTAAATCTATGCTATTAAGTTGTAAGGTAGTTGTAGTTATTGCAATATAGCAAGTAGCTAGTTTAGAGAGACGTGGTTAAAGGCACCTTTAATATCTAGGAATACTGTAACGTAGATTATCACTGAGCCGGCCATATCACTGAGCCGGCCATATCACCGAACCAGCCACTTTCTCTTAGCACGACCACCTTTTACCCCAACACAACATGCCTTAACAATAACAACTTTAGAATACTACTAGAGAAGGTAGAGTTATCCTTACTATCTAGGCCTTCTATGCTAGCTAATTTTGCAGTATCTGCAGCACTGCTAGAGTGTTAAACGTACCTTATTAGCAGGTCTCTAATTGCCTTCACAATATTACATTTTAACTAGACATACACACTAATTGCTAGAAACTTACTATACTAGAGGAGCAGACAATTGTCTAGTATATACTTAACCTTAATTCGCAAGGATTTGCGCCCTAGCTATATAAGGTAGTAGATATAGCTAATAAGATACTTAGTGTGCGTGGTGAAGAGCTGTCAGATGCTCGTACTGTGAGCCAGAGTATGTGCTTAATGAGATCTTAGGTGGTATGATAATTTATTGATGATCGTGGCGATGGTGTTTCTGCCGTGGCGTCGTGCTGGTTGCTACAGGATTGAAGTGGGGGGGAATTAGCGCTGTTCGCGGCCGCCTGTGTGCGGGCCAATCAGGAGTTGCCAGGTCTCGCTTAATCAACCTGGCAACTGCTGATTAGCTGCGCGACAGGTCCCTGCTTAATTGCGCAGATCCAACCTCTCGCCACTTGCTCTTATCTAACACACCCCCTTTAGCTTAGAAACTCTTTAAGCTAACTGTTTATGCGTGTGCAAGGTCCTTAATTTATTCTTAAATCCTGTCTAGAGGCACGCTGTTTAGCACTTCTATTAACTCTCTGTTTACTAGACTAAGTTGCTAGAGGAAACCTTCCTACTTATTCACTAGGAGTACCTTTGTAAGTCTGTCTGCTATCATGCTTGCAGACTAGACGTGTTCTATAATAATCTTTCTAGCGGCCACCTCCTGTTAGAGCTAGTAGTTATAGATATCTACATGCTGAAGTTTAGTATATAGTTGCAACACTTCCTTAGTAACTAGTTAAATTATTTGTTTATTGTTATATTGTATTATAATAGCATATGTGCCTATATTAACGTGTAGTTCGCGCAAGAGCCTTAAGATAAAAAGTGCTTCTTTTACAACCTAGGTAAGAGTAAGAAGCTTAGCCTTAGTTAGGCTGGCGGATGGGTAGGGTAGGGTAGGGTATAGGTATAGTCACGTGATTTATGGGTAGGAACTAGGTAGGGTACATGAGGTACCCTACCCAAACGGTTTGGGTAGGGTAGCACGTGACTGGGTATAGGTATAGGTAGGGTAGCACATGACTAGGTATAGGTATAGGTAGGGTAGCTAGGTAGGGTCTAGGAATGGGTAGTTATTAGCAAAATCTAGGTTACTACTCTAGACTTTGTACTATTGTATACTTTAGAGCATAAGTATGTGATAATAGACTGTGATAATAAATTATAGATGCTTTTTCTTCTAAGTATTGTG